CTGAGATGCAGAAGGGCTGAGGATGGAGCCAAGATGTGAGTGGGGTGGGGACAATGCTTTCATTTGTGGATCCATTGATGTAGCTCTTGGTGCTCCTGCTGGGCCTATCTGAAGAGCGCTAGCCCCACACCGTGACTCAGACTCAGCAGAGTGGCTCGTTCCTGGCTAGCATATCCTTGACAGGTTCATGTATCATTTTCTGAGCCCTGCCAGCTTATTAGCAGATGTTGTCCTGTCCCCAGAGAATGGAGAAGGAGGGAAACAAATGGACCAAGCTACAGATGGCTGGCAGAGCCCTCCCCACGCTCGCTGTGTTTTGAGACAAGCCTGCTGCTCCAGGGCCTCTTGGGCAGGCAATGCCTGCAAGGTTGGGGCTGGTGAGCTGAGAAAAAAAAGGCACAATGTGTTGTGCAGTAAGGGGACCCAGGGAGCATTAACACCAAAAAGTTGGCATTGTATTTGGGCACCCACCTGGGCAACGGAGCACTGCAAGCTGGAGATGTGCTGTGCCAAGTCTCACTTAAGCATTGCATTTTGTAAGCCCTGTTTGTGACACTGGGACCAGCCAGGTCTATGCATAGGGACTGCAGCCATGAGCCCAAAGTAAATGTGGAAGTTGCTTCTTGAGCTGGTCCGGTAGGGTGCAGTTTTGCTGCTCTCCCGTGTGCATTGCAAGACCATACTACCATGAGATGAAGCTCCAAGGAGAGGCAGCCTTGGCTGGGTGTTGCGGGCAAAACAGTCTCAGCTGTTTTGTGGGAATTTCACTTAATTTAACTTGATTAACATAAACTTTTGACTACTGATTCAGGTACTGAAACAAAGAAGTAAATTAAACAAACACTTCAGGAAAACATTTCTCCTTCCCTTTTCCCAGGCTCATCTTCAGTCCATACACCTCTCCACTCTTCTCAGTCTCAGCTTTCCTTGTTTTCACGGCCATTGCACTCAGTTCTCCCCATTCCTTGCTTCTTACTCATTTCCTCTGCTCTAGCATGAGTCCTGCATGGGCTGCAGTCCATCAGAGGTGTACCTCTTCCGGCATGAGCACCTCTGTCCAAGAGTGCACCTCGAGTCATGTCCCCAGCAACGCCCCCTTCCGCATGTCTCTGTTTCATTTCTTCAAATGCATGTCTTCGTGTTTCTTCCCTCATGTCATTTTTTGTGCCTCCTGCCCTAGCAGCTAAATATATTTGAGCAGAGGCACCACCTGTTCCTGATTAGCTGAAGCTGCAGCATGCAGTGGGCTGTTTTCAGCTGTTTGAGAACTGCCTGGGACTGGTATTGGACAGTGCATGACCTTCTCCCACACAGGACACCCTTCAGCCCTCTGCTACCAAAAGACTGCCATTTATGCCCAACATACTGGGATTTGCAAGAGGATTGGCATGGGAAAAGAAGGAGGAGGTGCGCTGTAGGAGTTCTGGCCACTGGTTGTTTGTGATCTGCATGGAGGTAGGACACAACTGCTTGCCTGAGCTCCTCAGACACAGGGCAGCGGCGTTAACTGCCTAAAATAAAAAATAAATCCTTGTCTTCTGCATGGATCCTGTACAGGTATTTCTGTCAGGTGGAAGCACCTGGCTGCAATGAAGGTGATAGGACAACAACCCTGCACCTCCCTGGTATGTGGCTTCAGCTCTCTGTGAGGAGGACCATTCTGCAATAGGTTCAATGTGTATTATAGCCATAGCAGTAGAACCCTGTAGCTTTTAGACCTGGTATGTTTGACTGAATTTTGCTTTCTGTCCAATTCTCTGCTGCTTTGCTCTTCCCAGAGCTAACCTGAGAGGTCCTGGTCTTCCACATGCCATTGCCCTGGAAGGAGAGAGCTCAAATAGGAGGAGTAGGACATGCCTGTCATTGTGTTCAGTGTGAATTTAATATCCTCTGCAATTTCCAAGGCGAGTTCACAGCTCAGTCCAGACCTCCTAGCATGGAGGTTCCAAGCTGGTGCCCAGTACCCTATGTCTGCCAAATACCTTGAACGTATGCCCCATTTTCATGTATAGTAAGCACAGACACGCAGAGATGTTCATTATCCCATCCAGCACAGAGACTCCCTGGCCCCAGCCCTGCTCTGATCCAGCTAGTCGCCAGGCTTCCTTGCATACTTGTGCCATCCAGGTGCTAGAAAGGGGCTCCAAACAACTCTGCCCTGGTGCACAAATTCACCCATAATTCATCATTTAGCATAATTTTCCCCTTGACTGCATCTGAAATAATTGTGACTCATTGCTACAGGTAATTAACGTTTCTTTACGACATTAAATGCTAAATGATTACAACTGCTCAGTGAAAATCTGCTGTGCTCCGTGCTCCCATCCTTCCTGCCAGCCTGCCTCTCTCAAGCAGATAAATGGGACCCACGTCTGGTGTAGCACTGATTTCTCTGCCCTTAATTAAATCCCAGTGGGGGGATCAGCTCCAGTGCCTCTTGAGTTAAAAGTCTCTAGTCACTGCAGTGGTAGAAATGATGGTGGTTTGCTGGGCCAAGAGAGTTCACACTGTATGCTGAGGTGAAGAAGACAAATCCTGGCATGCATACTGTCCAACTTGAAAGACTGGGACTGTGAATGGCTTTAAAATCAGGACGATGGGGACAACTCATTGCTTGGTTCTCATCTGGTAGGCCGTGCTTATGCCATGTTTTCATCCTTTCCCTCACAGAAGACCCAGGAGCTTTTCTGTCTTAGAGCTTTTCGCAGAATCACACAGAATGGCTGAGGTTGGAAGGGACCTCTGGAGATCATCTAGTCCAACCTCCCTGCTGGAGCAGGGTCACCTAGAGCACGTCACCCAGGACCGTGTCCAGATGCCTTTGGAATATCTCCATATATTTTTTTTTTCCTGCCTGGCTACCTTCAGAGTTTGCTCCCGACTGAAACCACAGCATGACAGCACCCTGGTTGTCTTATACCCACGCTCAGCACCCAAATGCAAGGGGTTACATAGAGGAGGTTACAAGGTCAGACAGAGGGCGTGTGGTGAAGGCAGAGGGTCCCTCTTTCTCTCATAGCATGTGACATGGGGGGTCCAGCTGTGCCAGAGCGCTGCTACCCTCCTGGGCTGTCCTCGGTGCGGCCATGCAGGATGGGGACAGCACCCTCCTCTCCCAGCTCTGGCTCCCCTGTTGTCTCCCTTCTTCTTTCCACTGATGGCTTAGAGGAGGTGAAAACTATCAGGACAGCTGTGGAGCAAAGCCAGCCTGGTGCTGCTCGTTTCCTCCATTTCCACATGAATCACATCATCTTTCCCTTGCGTACCCAATTTTGGGCATTTCTGCTCCTTGTCCTGCTGCCTTTTGGAGGAGCAGGGACTTAGGGACAGGCTCCAGAGCTGCTGGCTGTTGCTTTATCCACCCTGCTATACCAACAACCTTGAACTGTGCAGCCTGTGCATCCTGTTGGAAATGGCGCCCTGCCTTTAAAGTGGCATTCAGTGAAAAAATGCCACAGAAATTGGGGACAGAGTTTGGAGCGGGACCAGTAAGCCAGGATGGCTGGAGCACTGTCTGCAGCTGCTGTCACTGGAAGTAGCTTGGTTATAAAGAGGTTGGTTATCGCACGCTGTTATTGTCCAGCGTGCGATACATGAAATACTTTGGCAGCAATCAGTCTAGGGAAATCCGCAACAAGGAAGGGAGTGCTATTAATAAAAAAACAAATCAACACCTAAAAACAGAACAAATGGACAGTATGGAGGGGCCCAGACCACCAGGGAAGCTGGATCACAGACAAAACGCTTCTACATGCTTGGAAGCAAAAATTGAGGCTGTATGCAGTGCTGGCCACTGGAGGTAAAAGTAGGAAAATGAAGGTATTACTACCTCAGTAGGGAAAAAGAGAAATGAGCCAGAGCCAGGAACAGTGCTTGAAACACTGGAACTGGTCCTAGAAGTGTTTGATGAATACAGGGACCCAGACAGCTCGAGTTTTTTTTTCTCTTACTTGGAATCAAGACCCGCAAGAGAGGACAGATCCTCCCACCCCCAGACAGGTACCTGCCATGCCACATGTCATTCCTGAGCAAACCAGTTTTCCTAACGAGATGCCAGTTGTTTGTTTGTATGACAAATGATTCACCCGAGGGGCCGCTGGGAGAGGTGGGAGTAGGACGGAGCAGACCGATGGCAGCGTGGGGGAAGCGCATGCTCCTGCTGCACAGCCCTGGGACCAGGCAGAGACAGAGCGACCGAGAGTGGGTCCTGCCATCAGAAAAACTCAGGCTGGCTCTGTCCGCCTTGCTCTCCCTCTGCAGGGAGCAGGCGGTGCATGTGCACGGCTGGTTTGCTGCACTGTGAAAAGAGAGTTTTCCCCCCTGCCCTCCTTTGAGCAAATACGTTGCTTCGCATAGCGGTGAACCAGGGGCATGCAGAGGGGCATGCACCATGTCCCAGATGCAGAGCTCTTAATTTTTGAAACCATGCTCACACAGATGCTCTTGGCACCTGGGCACAGCCAGCATATGTAGTGTGAAGAGCAATACGAAGAGTCTGTCGCATAAATGGTGGTGATTAGAAGGGGTAACAACATGGTTTCTCTGGGGCTAGGCAGTGGCTGCAGCAAGAAGATCCCCACGTGGGCTGCAGTAACCCAAGGGCAGAAAAGACGAGCAGGCAAGGGTGCAAGGAGAACACCTCAAGCTTTACAGGCAGCTGGCTACTCACAAGAAGGCCGAGGCATCTGAGTTTGCCTGCAAAACAGTGAGGAAATAGATACTGGGATGGCTGTAAATACAGCTTGGGGAGAGAGCTACAAAAGCAGTTTTTGCAGAGCCTGGTTTCCAGCTGGGCAGGTGAAGGTGGACTCACCGAGGTGTCATGGTGAAGATGGGACACTAGCTAGCCTTGCTACTCAAGTTGGAGGGTTTCCAGCACACTGGGATGGGGTAGGGAGCCGAAATTGGGGTTCATCTCTGTGCTGGTGGGATTTGCTAAGCCGTGGGATGCTCCTCTTCCAGGCACGTCCCTCTGACCTCTGCCTGTTCCCTTCTTGCAGCCTGTGAGCTGGGATTTTACAAGTCAGCCCCCGGAGATCAGCTGTGTGCTAAGTGCCCCTCGCACAGCCACTCGGAGAGTCGGGCGGCCCGCATGTGCCGTTGTGACAGCAGCTTCTACCGGGCAGTGCAGGACCCCCCCTCAGCTGCCTGCACGCGTAAGTACCCTGGCTGCCCACTCACTCGCCAATGCAACATTGGGACAGGATGTGTGTGCGGTGAGTGTTTCGGGGGACACATTAGTCTACCCTGTTTCCCTTTACCTCACCCCCTGAAGAGCGCCCATTCGTCTCCATCCCATTGGATGTGCCCAGCACACGCCTTTAGCTCAGCCTGAAGCACTGCAACACCCCATCTTTCAACCCTGGGCCTTCCTGTGATGCATGAGGTCAGAGCTCCCAGGACAAAGCCCTTTCCCTGCCATGCAGCCCATCCTCCAAGGATGGCACAGCCCTTCTCCAAAGGTCGCTGGCAAGACTGCGCTGCCCTCTCAGGGATGCCTCCTGAAATGGAGCAGGGAGAGAGAATGTTGCCCTATTCCTTCCCCACCAGCAAGCTCACCTGCTTGCAGGCCAGCAGGCATGCACACCAGCCCGGACTACTTTTGAGCTCTAGTTTCATTCTCAGAAATGCTCAGGGTGGCCATACCCTTGGAAGGCTGCAGGGCAGCACAGGCCCTGCTATGCTCTCCCCCATTGCGGGCAGATGTTGGGACCAGGGCTTGGCCCACGGTTTCATGCCAGCTGTCTGAAAGAGGTCGCTTTGAGGGGCCCAGTGATGTTAAAGGGGGATAAAAGCATCCCAGAAAGAGTTCTCCTCCCTGCAGTTGGTCCAGGAGGGCAGAGAGGAGTAGTGCTGCTAGTTGAAGCCAGGTTGACAAGCAGGTTAGCAACATCTGACTTATGTTTCTCTAGGGCTCCAAAATATCAACCTCAAAATGTTAATGTCCCTAGGAGACGTGTCTCCCTTTCCCTTTAGATTACTCAGTCCTGCTCTCCCTCCTCCAGCCTGTCCACACCTTGGCTGTTCCCTTCAAAGCTTCCCGCGTCCCTGTTGCTTCCTGCTTCCCCCAAGACAAATATCAGCCCTTCCCTGCCTGGCGCTTTTTATCCTGATCTGAAGCATCTTTCCTCCAAGTCTGGTCTGACGTAGCACGTCACCCCAAGACCTCTCTGTGTCTTTGAGGTCCTCTGTTTGCAGCGCTTCCCTCTCTGGGCAGCTTTATCTTCACGGAAACATTGTTTGTACGTGCAGGGCTATCAACTGTGGATCTCCCACAGAACAAGCAGCCTAAGATACATCTCTCCGCTGGTCCCATTCCCGCCCAAGGCCCTGCTTCATCAGTCCCAACACACCGCAGTGTCTCCTGCTCTGCCTGAACCTCTGCTTCTTTTCCAGGGCCCCCCTCTGCTCCTGTGAACCTGATCTCCAGTGTGAATGGGACCTCGGTGGCACTGGAGTGGGGCCCACCCCTGGACAAAGGGGGACGCACTGACATAATGTACAACGTGATCTGCAGGCGCTGCATGGGGGACACTGGCCAGTGTGAGACGTGCGGCAGCGGGATCCGCTTCGTTCCCCAGCAAATGAGCTTGGTGCAGGGAGCGCTCACGGTGACCAACCTCCTGGCCCACACCAACTACTCCTTCTGGGTGGAGGCTGTCAATGGAGTGTCTGACCTCAGCCTGGAGTCCAGAAGAGTTGCAGTTGCCAACATCACGACAAATCAGGCAGGTAGGAGGAGCAGACACCACCGCTGAGGCTGAGGTTTTGCCTGTGTGGGCTGACGCTGATGTTGCTCCAGGACAAGGTTTGACCTTCCCCCAGCTGGTATCTGTCAGAGACAGGCCCTGCACTGGGAGTGGGAGTCAGCAGCAGTGCTGCCCTTGGGAGCCAAAGGATGGTTTAATGGTGACCATAAAAGCCCCAGAAGACATAAGGAGTGATCTCCTGTTCTCTCCGCTGCTGGAAATGTTTTCAGGCAGCTGGGTTGGATGCCTTCAGGGCTGCAGCCTAAGGCAACGGTTATTTTTCTCTGGTTCATGGTATCTTTTCTCGTCTCTCTTTTCCTTCACTTCAGCCTGCAGCCACGGGTGGAGGCTCCTTTTCTGCAGGAGACAGGGGGCATGGAGAACACTTGTTTATTGACAGGAACACTAAGTGGAGCATGAATCTTTTGGATTGCTCCTCTAGCCTTCTTGTCCCTTCCCAAAGGGCCAAGCAGAAGTTCATGCGCCGTGTAGTGCACTGCTCTTAGCTCACACCAATACCGACCCCTGGCAGGTGACAGTGACATTGACTAGGGAAAGTCTCTCTCATGCATGTCTCATCTTTGCGAATCCCCTGCTGTGAAATGCACTTTCCCCAGGAAATAATTCTGAGCAAACTCCTGGCTCAGCTCCAGGACCTTGCTCCAGGGCTGCCTAGGCATCTCCTCAGGGCAGAGCCCAGCTAAGCCCCTCTCTTGGGAGCAGGGACAGGGTACAGGACAGGGATTGACCCTTCTTGTTAATCCTTCCAGTTGGAAACGAGCCTTCAGAAACTTCCTGTGATGCTGAGCCCCTTCTGCTCTCGTTGCGGCAATGCCAACAGGGAACTGCCCCAGAGAAATCCAGGGAGCCTTGCCAGGTCAACTCATGGCTGGCCAGTGAATAAGACCCTTTTGTTACTAAAGCCTGCACTTCCTCATCCCTCTGCTGAGCCTCATGGAAATGCCTAATTCCTGCCTGCTCCCTCCAAGTGCTAGAGGTGGCATGAGCCTGACACCTCGGAGAGGGATGCTTGTGGGATGTGTTTGGTGGCTAGCTCCGGAGAGAGGCACTGAGCATTCCCATTTCGGCTTCTCTGCTAGCAAGTGGCTGTTGAACAGGTGCAGAGAAACCAGCAGGGTTGGGAATTTGGTAGTAATTGAAGTTTAGCTGCTGTGTCTGCGCAAGGCTGCAGCTGCCGCGCTCTGCAGCATGCCCCTGCCTGCTGGGAGGGGCTGAGGGATCCCCGTGGTGTGGCGGGGAAGGCACGTAATCTCCGTGCAGCGCTGCGCAGAGGGGCGGCTCACCCGCTCTAATCGCTGATAACGGTCTGTGCCGCATAGGCAGCTCTCATCTCCGCAGCCCCCGGAGGCAGAGCGGGGCAGGAACGAGTGCAGCTTCCGGAGGGGACCGGGCATGCAGGATTTAGTGGATTTCCTCTGTCTTGCTCTGCCTGAGCTCTCTGGGATCCTGTATCCTGGCAGTGATTTTGGCTCCTCAGGGAAGCCAGCCCAAAGGCAAACCAAGCTATAACTGCCACCTTTTGGGCCCTCGGTGCAGCCTTGCCCATGACTGAACCCCTGAGGATTAGAGATAATCCTCGGCACCTGGGCTGGGTGCCCAGGCTCGGTGCATGGCCGGTGGGATGGAACGTGGACTTGGCCCCCCATTTGAGAGCTGTGCAGTGCTTCCCAGGCCTGGGCCTGCTTCTGGCCATGGCATGGTGGAGACAGCCCATGGCAGCCCTCCCCAGGTGACCACCAGCTCTGCAGCTTCTCTTGGTTGCTGTGTTGCTCCAGCAGCCATAGCAGATGGCAGCTGTGTCTTCCCCAGAGCTGCCATCTCCTATCTGCTGTCCCGCAATTAGGGTCATAAAGGGGTGTCTGACCTCTTTTCATGAGCTGGACTCAAAGGCTGTGTCTGGCCATCGCTGCATCCCAAACACACTCTCTGGCCTCACAGAGATTCTTCCTGGGGGATTTAGGGAGATTTTATTTTCTCAGATGTCAGCAGGAAAAGAGGCAGCTGGAGTGAACATAAGCCCACACACTAGTCCTTTCTCCCATTCGTCAGAGCACTCATCTCTACATAGTTTTAACCAAAGCAGAAACATGGTTTAAACTGTTTCTACGGGTCCTGCACAGGACTCTGGCTCTACACCCTGTTGCTGCCATGTTCTGCTGCCCACAACCCAGGTGGTGCTTGCACCCAGCAGCTGCCTAACACCCTGCTGCCTTCATTCCTAGCCCCGTCCCAGGTGGTGGTGGTTCACCAGGAGAGCACGGGCCAGAACAGCGTCACCTTGCTGTGGCAAGAGCCAGATCAGCCCAATGGCATCATCCTGGAGTATGAGATCAAGTACTATGAGAAGGTAATGCTGAATTTGCTTCCGCAACTTGGTCCCAGCATGGTGGATTAAGACAGGGACATGGCTTGGTTTAAATCTTGCTGGTGCAATTGCTGCTATCAGCCAGGCTTAGACAAAGGTCTATTTTGGGAGGCTTTGTTCTTTACCTTGGTTGCTGTGCTGACTCAGCAAAGGTTTTGGTATTGCTTTTCTGCAGGACAAAGAAATGCAGAGTTATTCAACTCTGAAATCCAAAGGCACCACTGCCACTATCTCTGGGCTCAAGCCTGCAACCCGCTACATCTTCCAGGTTCGGGCTCGCACCTCTGCTGGCTGTGGGAGGTTCAGCCAGACGGTGGAGGTGGAGACAGGGAAGCCAGGTGAGTGCATGCTATTAAGAGATGTGGAAAGTGCAGACCAGAGGGTGTGGGGGATCTTGGGGTATGGTGACCATTGTCCATGGCAATTGTGCCTCTGCTGTCTGGAGATACAGGGCTGGAGGCACAGCTCCTGGTCCCTCTATCTGCAGGGCTTCCTTGGGATAGCCTTCATGAAATGTGCTCATACATTAGAAAAAGGTAGGAGGAAGGACTGAGGACTGCCTCTCCTCCCTTGGAGTCTGTGTGTCCATGATGACGCTTTTCCCTCACATCAGCAGGATGGATGAGCTCTCACTTGGGCAGAATCTCAGGCCCACAGTGCACAGACTGCAGTGGGGAAGCTGTCACCTCTGAAAGCATAACTCCTAGTTACCCCATAACTCATGGGGTTTGGACTGTGTATTGCTAGCCTCTGCGCTAATGCTGTAGTGAACTCGTTACATCTTGCTCTCCATCACAGTTACAACGTCTGGCTCTCCCCTCCTGTTTCCCAGTATGCCAATATGCCTGATTTACACCTCTGTAAATGAGTGTGGACTCTTGTGATCATGCTCTTGCTGAGTTTTTTTTGCGATATAAAAGCATCTTTGTAACCTGCCAAGCAGAGGGGACAGATTGTTTGGGCTTTTCAGCTACAGCTGGTATGGCAGGAAAGCCCTGGTGAGATTCGAAGGCTCCAGACTCCTCTCAGCCCAGGTCTGCTGAATCAGGATGGCCTTCCCAGATCTGTGCTCGGTTTCCCCATGTGTAAGTGGCCCCTGTATACTAGGAGAGCCCCAAAACTGGGGCTGGAGTGGGGGCATGATGCTTTTATTATTGAAGGTGGTGTCCTGCCATGGAGTAGGTGAGTTTCTGCCCTCAGCAGAGTGCTCACAGTCACAGAGCCACAGACACTCCTTGCCTCCCCGCTCCTGCTCACCTTCTTTCTTCTCTGTCTCTTCCAGTGTCTCTCCGGTATGACACAATGACCATAGTCTGGATCTGCCTGACCCTCATCACTGGTCTCGTCACGTTGCTGGTGGTCCTAATTTGCAAGAAGAGGTAGGTGCTTTCTGGAGGTCAATGCAACTTATCACAAGGTAGGACGAGAGGGCTTAGGCACAACCTTTATCCTGTCAACTCTGGCCAGAGTGGCCGCAGGCCAGGGGGCAGCAAGCAACCAAGAGACTTCACTTAGAAACACCCTGTCTCCACCTTCTCTGAGGCACAGCCAGCCTCTAGGCCTTTCTCTCCTGTCAGTGGGCTAAATGTCAATGGACAAGAGCTTGCTGACTAGATTAGGGGGTAGGTCAGAAGCAGACAGAGCTCTTCTTCAACAAGAAAGTCCACGAGGGACGATATGCTGCCATATCTTAGCATGGTGGAGTCAGGCATGTGAAGCAGGCATGCCAATACCCTGAGGAGAAAAAAGGGCTGCAGCATTCTGGTCCTAGCCCTGCTGAGCCTTGGAAAGTACCCTGCTCCAGGCCGAAATGTCAGTCAAGCAAAATGCAGTGATGCAGCTGATAGGAAAAAGTGTAGCTCCAGCTCCTCCTGGGCTGCCTGCAGCCCTGGCACCCACCCTGTCCTCCCCTACCTTTGGGCTGTTTGTGGGACCAAAAAACAGGAGCACCCCTTCTGACCTTTGTGTCTCCGTGGCAGGCACTGTGGGTACAGCAAGGCTTTCCAAGACTCGGATGAGGAGAAAATGCATTATCAGAATGGGCAAGGTAGGACCCTCCTTGCTTCTGTCCATGGCGGTGAAGGGCCTCAGCCTTGTGGATGGGTAGGGACCTGAACCGTTCTCCCCTACCACTGCTGTGGTTTCCAGGTCAGAGGATTCGAACTGCCACTTGTTCCGGGGGTCGTGTCTCAGGCAGCTGAGCCGGGTGCTCTAATCCCATAGGCATAGTGGTAATCGGGTTGAAGGCCTGCACAACATGAGGTGGGGATGCTGAAGGTATATCTCGCACAGCAGCAGGCCAGAAGAGTGTAAAATTCACCAAAGACCCACATGAAGGTGGGGTTGGTGGAAGGGAGAGGAGAAACGCATGGAGGCAGTCTGGGTGGCCAGGTCTTGGACTGCTCTGAGGATACTGCCATGCCAAAGAATGCCTTAGATTACCTGGGTCTGCAACCCCTATGTCTTCTCAGCTTGTCACTCCAAGGAGTCCTGCCCCTGCCCATCCGTGCTCTTGGCTCCTGGATGCCTACTTCGTGGCAGGGCTACTTGGAAAAGCTTCCGTCTTCTCTCCTCTTTGAAATCCAACAGTGAAGTTCCCTGAGTCGAAGTTCTACGTCGACCCCCACACGTACGAGGATCCCTGCCAAGCCGTGCATGAGTTCACCCGTGAAATTGAGGCTTCTCGAATCAAGATCGAGAGAGTCATTGGGTCTGGTGAGTCCTTGGCCCTGGACTGCCTGTTTGCATCATATGTGCTTAGGGAATTTGGTGTCTGAGGCATTACCATTTCTGTGGCCTGCTGGGGCTACAGTAAGCTGCATGGCACTATTACAATGCTCGTTCAGGGCTTCATTGGCTCCTTATTTTTCTGAGCTCAGAATCAATAGGTGGGATTATTTTTAGTGCATGAAATAAACTCCTCTGAGCCAGTCTGGTGTAAACGGGAGCTGTTCAGCTGCCATGGCACTGACAACTCAGGCTGACATCAGCAGATGGCTCAGCCCATCCCGTGTGGGTGCTTGAACACAGCCACCCAGCTTTCAAACCTTGGAGCAAGCATCTGGGGTGACAGGATGCAAGTAAAATCACAAGCAAAATGGTAGATTTTTGAGAAAAACAGATATTTGCCTAAGAAAAGGGGCTTGCAAGGAAGCACAAGGCACAGCCAGAGCTATAGCTTTATTAGCAATGCCCCATGGGCATACTGAGGCTTGTCCCTGTGTGCGAAGAGGCAGTACAGAGCAAGTCAAACAAAGCAGCATCAGGAAGCCCAGCTGAGAGACATGCCTACTTCTGTAACAGACCCCCCCCCCCCACACATTTTTGTTCACCAAAAGAGGTAAAGCGAGTGCCAATCCCATTGTAATCACTGCTTTTGGCCTGTAGCCTTGGATAAAAGGCATCTGTTAGAGAGGTGTTTTCTGCCCAGCTCCCGGAGGTGTCACTGAAAGCCGGAGATGAACAATCCTGTCTGTACAGTAACTCACATGTAGCGATGGAAGAAGAACCTAGGATTCCTGACGGGCTGCAGCATACCGCAAGCATGCCAGCAGACTGGTTAATCTGGGGTGCTTGTGGGACTGTGCGGGGAGCTGAGGAGCACCCCATGCCCTCACCTTTCCTTGCTTTGCAGGAGAGTCTGGAGAGGTGTGCTACGGCCGCCTGAAACTGCCAGGGAAGAGAGAGATTCCCGTGGCCATCAAGGCTCTGAAAGCAGGCTACACAGAGAAGCAGAGACGGGACTTCCTGAGTGAAGCTAGCATCATGGCACAGTTTGACCACCCTAATATCATCCACCTGGAGGGGGTGGTGACCAGGAGTATGTGGCAGGCGGGGATGGGACTCTGCAGGGGGGCAGAGAAATCTCCCTGTGGGCACCCTTGGAGACTCCGCTTTGGGTGTACTCTGAGATCCAATGCTTGATTGTCCTGGGTGCCTCACTTGCCAAAAGTGCATTTGTCCTGGGGTCCTCTGCATCTAGAGCACATTTCACTGTGTGCTGGTACTGCTGGAAAGTCCAGGATAGCAAAGGGAAGTCCCATGCCCAAGGACTTCTGGGGGGATTGGGGAGGAAGGTGGCAATAAAAGATACGGCTACAGGAGCTCCCTTTGGGGACTGAAGCCACCTTCCCATGCAGTGGTACCAGGCAGTTTGGCAATTGGTTGGCTGCAGGGAAATGGGAGCCCTATTTCACCGCCCTCTGACTGTCTCTTTGCCTGCCGATTCCCAGGAGCTGTATCTAAATGGGCAGCTTTCCTTTGGTCTGAAGCAAGGCCCCAGGTGAAAGTTTCAAGCTTGGGCACACATTTCTTACTGGACAGCTTTCTGTCCTCATTGACATTCCCCATTAACATCTTCAGAGGTAGACAGGTTGTCCCAGCAGCCCTGCTGCTTTCTTCCTTCCCCTCCGAACTCCATTAGAGAAATGAACTGCTTATTCCTGGCTGCAACCCAAAGCCCTGGCAGCACCACAGTGGTCGGGGGTGGGGAGGTTAAGCCTTCCTCTGAAGGAGATGAAACAAGACTGTCCCCATCATCTTTTGTTACAGGACAAACTTTGCATGCGACAGTTCCCCACGTTCCTCCGCAATGCGCCCCGGTGCCCCCGATCAGGGTTATTGGATTGGGAGAAGTCCTACCCATTAGCGTTTGTTTTAAAGGCTGCCTGTATTGAATCATAATTTGAAGTCTTCCTTCCAAAAAGGCACGTTGTGATGCAAAGTATTATGCTAATGACATGCAAATTTAAGTGGGATAACAAAGCTGACCTAGTCACATCAATAGCACCTGAAGGGAGGGGTAAGTGTCTGGGTTATTGCCACATCCACACAGTTGCGCAGTTCATGCACGGTACTGGCGTGAGACTCTGTGGGGTTGCAGGAAATCCATTGGCCTGCATTTATTTTGCCCCCAGTGAAAGCCTGGCACTGGGGTTCCCAGAGGAAGGTGACTTCTCTGTTAACTTGACCTTCCTTGTCTTCTGCAGGCAAATTGGTAATGATTGTTACTGAATACATGGAGAATGGCTCGCTAGATACCTTTCTCAGGGTAAGGAGCTCTTTCGTATCTTTATTCATTGCACATTCCTCTGGGCTGAGGGACTGAAGAAGAGGCTGTTTCACAGTCCTCAGCCTCATGACCACTGTGACCTCTGTGTAAGAGCTGCGGGCTCTGGGCTCTCACCTCTCCAGAAGACATTGGTTCCCCAGAGGAGCAACACTGCAGGAGGCAGGGGCACCTGCCAGAGCTGCATGTCCGAGGCACTGGGAGGGTGGATGCTGCAATTCCTCCTGCCTGGGGCTGAGAGCAAATTGCACTGAGGGTTAGAGGAGCATGGAAGGGAAGTACTAATTCAAAGAAGAGAGCTCAGAGGGGGTTAGTTTAATGAGAACAGTATCGATGGGAATGCTGGAAAACACCATGAGTGAACTCTGGGTTTTATCCTCTCCAGAAACATGATGGGCAGTTCACCATCATCCAGCTGGTGGGCATGTTGCGGGGCATCGGTGCAGGCATGAGATATCTTTCTGACCTGGGCTACGTGCACCGGGACCTTGCTGCCCGCAACATCCTGGTGAACAGCAACCTCGTCTGCAAAGTGTCTGACTTTGGTCTCTCACGTATCCTGGAGGATGACCCTGATGCCGCATACACCACCACGGTGCGTTCTGGGCTGGGGAGGTGCAAGGCTCCTGGTGTTACACCTTTCCTGATGCTACTCTGGGCCACTGTCCGGTGGAAAAGTTAGACACTCTAAAGTCAAGATAAGCAGGACAGGGATGGAGATAGCCCCCTCGGTTTTGCTTCCTGGACCAGGGGCATGAACTCAAAGTGCATCTAACCCTTAATGTATTGCATGAGAAAAGCCTCCTTCATACAGGGCCATCCCAGGAGTGAAGACCGCAGCGAACAAAGGAAGTAGTGTAGGAGAGCAGGAAACTGATCGAACCTCCCCAGCCAGCTGCTTCTATGGTGCACGCTTTAGATCCTGGTCCCTCTTCATTATCAAGGTGGAATAATAGATGTCTTTTCCTCTGCACTTAGCCCAATGCTAATTTAGCTCCTGCTGTTTGGCTGTACAGGTCTTTTCAATTGCACTTGCTTCCTCAATTCTGTATGCATGGCCTGCTGCACAGGGATACTCCCACGTACCCTTCTGGGTCCTTTGTTAGACTGTATAGCTCCATCCTTTCCTTCAGTCTGTCCTAGAGTCATAGGTCAGTTGGTATGCGTTATGCTACAGTCTTTAGTAACATGGTCACATACTTGCTTTTCCATGCGACCCTACCTCTTTCAAGGGTGCAGAAAGGATTAGAATTAAGGATTCTGATTTCCTTTAACTTGCAAGCACTTGGCTTTGCAACCTGGATAATTTTGTTTTAAGGTAGGATACTTTTGTCTCTGATTCTATTTTGAGATCCTCTAGGTAACCTGACAGCTCTGGAGCTTTATGTGCTCCTCTACCAGAGGTCATTAGAGGGGAAATAAAATACGTTGAGGGAATGTGCTGCTTCTGCTTTTATCTGTCCATAAAAGGAATTAGTGTGCCCCTGGGGCTCAGCTCTGGCTGGGCAAATGTGGTGGAGAGACGGTTTTTGTTCCACTGGGGACTTGGCATGGACCAGTGGAGAAGCTGCAGCTAGGACTCTGAGTAGCCTTTTTTTAGGAGGACCAGGCCTGGAGAAGCAGAAAGCTTCAGGTTAGTCTGAGGTAGCTCAGTGCACAGCTGAGAATGGCTAGAACCAGTTGCAACTCTGAGGGGCTAGTGCATGGTGGCCCAGCCTCGAGATCATGGCCTTCCCTTCAGGCTTCAGCTCAGTGGAATTGTGAGCCAGACTGTGTCCCATGTGTGTCTTTGCATTCAGCTGCCCCCTTTGGTATCTCAAGAAACAATTTGATATTTCAGATCCTTTAATTCTGGGGCCTGTTCCTGTTGCTTTACTCAGGCTCAGCTTCTTCTGCAATTTAGCTTCAGGACTTGCAAAGGAGGGGCAAGAAGGGGCCCAAGATCAGCTGGAGTTTCCTGGTATCTGAGCAGCCCACTTTCCTTGCCCATGGACCTCAGATATATGAGTAGACAGGCCTACCTTCCACGAGGCTAGTGCTGAGTTTCTCCTAGCACTTTTAAGCTTTGTAAACAAATTTCTAGGATCCTGAAGGTGGTCTGGTTCTGACAGGGTTGGGAGGTGACCTGAGTGACCAGAGCTCATGCACTGACCTAGTCATTGACTCTTTCCAATCCTGCTCCTGTTTCCAGAGACACTGTCTGTCTCATTCCCCTAGTGTGAATGAAAGCCAGGAGGTCACTTTAAGATGAACAGCCACCGGCCATGTCAGAAGCAGAGGCTTTGAGGCATCTTGGCAGAGTGAAACCTTTCCTCTGTCAGCTGGTAGCTCTGGAGGAAGATTTAGTGCATAGCCCAAGGAGAGTTGAACTACAAAGATGCAGAAATAAGATCAGGAATACAAGCTCTCTGGCAAGGTCTTGGTCAACTTATCCTGAAAATGAGGATGTTTCCTTGTTCAGAAACCTGTGGTAAGACGACATCCTGTGTTCTTTCTCTGTTGTCCACGACTTGCTCAGGAGATGCTTTCCCCAGAGGGTCTCTCCTGAAGGACACGTCATTCACCTTCAGTCCCCATCAAGGAGTGTACCAGACCAGACAAGGCTCAGAGGGACTGGGGTAACCCTGCCAAGAGAGGGACACCTAAAAGGGGCTGTCAGCCTCATCACACCTGCCCCTGCTGCTGTTGGACACCCTCCACGCATTCCATGCACCACAACTTTTCTCCACAGATGGCTGGCAACCACATTTCCAGCTTAAATGTATTCTTAGCCCATTTATCGCTCATTTGAATGCCAGCATGATCCTTCAGTTTAGCAAGAGCTCCCCTTCAGCACTTCCCTCCCAAAGAACTAATAGACAGGAAGCACATGCCACACACTCTTTGCCAGACTAAAAATGATAGAATGATAGGCTCCCTGCCTGTGCTCACTGTCAGCTCCCATGTTCTTGAGTTCTTGTGCTCCTGATTGCCTTGAATTCCTCTCCACTGAGCACTGAGGACTAGAATTGCACACGGCATTTCAAAGAAGACCTTGAAAATTAGCACAACTCTTTCCTTGCTCCACTGGTAATTCTATGAGGGATACACCCTGGAGTCAAAATCAAGTAGAGTTTTAGGGTTATCCTGTGCAAGTTTCCTCCTCAGTCCTTTCCAGAGGATGCCCTCCCAGCCTGTTGTCCATCTAATCCAGCTGGCCTAGCTGCAGAATGAGGGGAAGGCCTGAACACTGCATGCTCTGAGCCATTGTTCCCACAGCTAAGTGGTAGGAGGTGCAGACAGGGCCTGGTTGCGGGCTGAGTTCAGGAGAGGACCTTGCTGACATTGCTGCAGAGCCAAAGGAGCTGCTTATGCTTTCCAGTTAGAAGTATGTCCCAGGGAAATGAAAGCTGTGCTGGTGCCCCAGGTACCTGGGACAACTCAGCAAGTTTGAGGTGAAAAGGACTGTTGTGTGTGGAAGCTTAAAGGATATCTTTCCAATATGAGAGACATGGAGCTACTGGAGCAAGTCCAGTGAAGGGCTACTAAGATGACTAAGGGACTGGAGCAGCTCTGATACGAGAAAAGACTGAGAAAGCTGGAACTGTTTAGCCTGGAGAAGAGAAGACGGAGGGAGGATCTTATCAATGTGCATAAGAATCTGAAGGGAGGGTACCAAGAGGATGGGGCCAGATTCTTCTTAGTGGTGCCCAGCGATAGGGCTAGAGGCAACAGGTACAAACTGAAGCACAGGCAGTTCCGTCTGAACATGGAGAAAAACTTCTTTATTGTCAGGGTGACAAAGCACTGGAACAGGTTGCCCAGAGAGGTGGTGGAGTCTCCTTCGCTGGAGATATTCAGAAGCCGTCTGGACACAATCCTGTGCAATGTGCTCTAGGTGCATGAGCAGGGGTGTTGGACTAGATAATCTCCAGAGGTCCCTTCCAGCCTTGGCCATTCTGTGCCTCTGTGATTCTGTGATGTGGTCACACCTGGAGCCTCATGGTGTACAATCCTCTATGCATTAAGGGACTTGGGCATCAGAGTTTGGCATGTACAGAGAACATCCGACATACAGAAATAAGACATAATGTCTACCCTGGGTGCCAAAGCTGCTCCCTGTTCCAAAGCAGCAAGGCCCAGCCTGGACTCCCAGCACTGATCTGGTATTTGAGTGCATTCCTCCATGCAGACCTTTAGGGGTGATGTCCGGGGTGTTTACTGTTTCAGGGTGGGAAGATCCCCATTCGCTGGACTGCCCCAGAAGCCATCACGTACCGCAAGTTCTCCTCAGCCAGCGACGTGTGGAGCTACGGCATTGTCATGTGGGAGGTGCTGGCCTTTGGCGAGCGCCCGTACTGGAACATGACCAATCGTGACGTAAGTGAACATGGGCCAATGAGAGGGCCAGCCTGCTTCTCCTAAGTCAGTCTATCAGGGGGCCCTGGGGAAAAGGGCCCCCCCTGGGCAGCCCTTACCTCTCCTCACATCCCCACTGGGCTATGTATGATGTGTCTGTCCTCCTCCCCGCCCCTCCAAGGGGGGCATTAGTGTCTAGCCCTGACATTGCTCCTCCAAGCACCACGCAGCTGTATCCGCCTCCTTGTTTGTAGCACAGTAGCTCCTGTTTGTGTTTGTGTGCGTGCACTTTGGGACTCTCTGCCTCCACCCCTTCCCTATCTGCTCTGTGCAAGCCTTCCTGCTGGCTGGAGAGCCTCTGTGCATAGTGTCACATCTTTCCCATTCCCTAAAAGAATGAGAGTTTCCTCAGGATCACTGCAGCCCCACGGCATTAACCTGCCAGTTCTTCCTGCAGCCAGCGCTGGGGCTTTGTCACTTCCACTGCCCACACGACGGTTCTGAGAGCCCCAGACTTGTCCCACCTAGTGGCAGGGGTTGGGGTTTGTCAAGAGTTATGGGGAGGCACTCTTAAATCAAGACTAGCATAAAAACTGTAGTAACATGGAGGCTTTGTTCCTGACTACAAACTGGGAGCAAAATTTCCAAAAGGAGACAATAAAATGAAGTTTCTGACTATACAGATCCACCAGATTCGTTTTTTATCTATAGGGGCTACTGACCTATCTGCCTGCTCCCTGTTCCTTCATCTTGAGAGTCCCTTCTCTCTCCAATGTTTTTATTACATGAGAAAGTGGCTTTGGTGACAACGGAGCTTCTTCCCAGGCATGGCTGCAATGACTTGTGCAACTTGTTCTCCACAGTTCTTTCACAGAGGGTTTCTTCCAGCCTTGCTGAATGGTAACAAGCCCTGGTTGTAGAGCAACTGAACGAAGCTCTCGTGACTTATCTGCTGGAGGGAGACAGCAATATTTTAAGCCTGTTGGAACACTTAATAAATCTGCCATCATAACAGTCATTTCCTGTGTATATATGGCATCCAGTGTGCTTTTAGCTCTGTATAGGGACTACATGCAACTTGCTAGCAGTAAACTTCTCATTTAGCATTAATCTTTTGTACAGCCCCCTCCCTTTCTGATGGCCTTGAGAGCTCAAGCATCAGGGATCTCTCCTGCGCATCCTGGTCAGGGGTGCTGAGAGTCAGACTGTGAGAGCAGTTCCCTGTCAACATATGGCTTTCTTTCAGGTCATTAATTCGGTGGAGGAAGGCTACCGCCTGCCTGCTCCTATGGGCTGTCCCACAGCCCTGCACCAGCTCATGCTGGATTGCTGGCAGAAGGACCGCAATGAGAGGCCTCGCTTCTCCCAGATTGTCAGCATCCTGGACAAGCTCATCCGCAACCCCGAGAACCTGAAGAACACGGCCACCGTGAACCGGTAAGGGCCCTCTTGGCTAGCTGCGAAGAACAGCGATAGACTCCCTGCCAAGCCACAGTCAATGCTGGGCAGAACGTGTCAGACACAATGAATAGGGCAACTTCTGGCCAGCTCTACCAGTGGTGGCTTCCCATCAGCTAGAGGTGGCCTCCCTGTGACCACAGAAGTACATAGGGCCCATGGGCACAGGCTGGTCATGGCAGGTAATGGCAGAGTGAGAAACAGCCTGCATTTCACTGGCCCACACCTGCTATGGCATTCCTATCATAAGGTCTAAATAAGCATATGCAGCACCGTCCACATCATGGTTGGTCTCACTTTACTAGGCTCTTAAGGCCGTGTAGGACTCTGTCCTTCCCTCACCTGCAAGGTCACAGGCTTTTTCAAATGGATATCACAGCCTAGCCGTGTAGGACTGTCGTACCCTCCTCAGCTCCTGAGATAACCCCCTTCCTCCATCCTGCCAGGTTCACCCAGACGCCCTTTGAAAGGGGTATCTTCGACTTCACCAGCTGTCTCACAGTGGAGGACTGGCTGGACTCCATCAGGCTGGGGCACTACCGGGACAACTTTGCCATGGCAGGGTACTCCTCCCTGGGCATGGTGATGCGAATGAACATCGAGTGAGTACCAAAGAACAAGTAGCACTGATGGGGTTGCCCTGCACTGTTAAGAGTACAGCACTCAAGCAATGGCCAGTCCTACCTTGGATTGCAAGAGCCAGTTGGCTCCCCTAGAGGGGGATGCTGGAGACATCCCTGAGGACATGGAGTCTGACCTGTCCCAAGTTCCTGCCGAGGCCTGAGACAGTGTCTGAGGCGGTGCTGACCTTTGAAAAGAGGAGTGGAAGTCATACTAGAGAGGATGTGTGGGTACTGAGTAACCTCTAGTGCTCCATGGTGGGTCTCTGGTGCAGCTCCACTATCATCATAGGATCATAGGATAATCTGGATTGTAAGGGACCTCAGGAAGTCATCATGTCCAACCTCCTGCTCAAAGAAGGGCCAGCTATGATGTCACTGTCTCCCTGCATTTCCAAGCTTTCTTTCCCCTGCAAAAGGCACGTGCAGGCCAGAGTGGTCCTGGGTCATACCACACAGCTTCTCTGTTTGGAGGGTGCTAGGACCCTTGGGAAAAATCTTGGAGGGACCTTAGAGTTTTCTGAGGTCCTGGTGTGCTGGACAGGCTCCTTGCTCGTTTCAGCAGGGCAGGGAGATATCATGCTGCATTCAGGGCTTCAGGACTTGGTGTGAATAGGAGGTTATAGTCACAAAGATCTCTGGGCCTGAAAACCCCCTTTAGAGCAGATGAAGTTCCTCCTGTCCTCCCATGCAGAAGAAGCAAATCAAAAAGCAGAGAGCTTCAGGAATGCCTCAAACTTCACTAAGTACCAGGCTGCAGGGCTCAGGGATCCTGCCTACATGGAGGCTAGTGCAGAGGCAAAAATCTCTCCCCAGTGGTCAAGGTTGGGTTGAGGAGGGTAGGGGAAGACTTGAGCCACCCACCATCCTCCTTCTACCCATGTGTAAGGAGAGAGCTTCGTGGGGCAGCTGATGTAAGAAAGAGGCTTGCTGTATTGCCTTCCAAGGGGTCCTCTGAGGTGGCTGATGCTCTGAGTGATACTCGAAAGGATGGCAACTTTATGTGCTATATGCTGGCCCGACAGTAAGAACGGAAGCAACTTGTGTTCCCTGCCCTTGTGGTTTTAGCATCAGCATCCAGGCTGGGAAACACCTGTTCTACCTCTCAGGAGCTTTGTTCCCTATCAAAAGGCAAGTTTCTGTCAAGCAATAGGAACTGTGACTCTGAAAGGGTGTAACAGTGCAAGCCTTGATCAAAGTAGGACAGGAAGACTAAAAGCCAGCAAAAGGGAAGACAGAGA